GGCTCTTTCAGCAAGCGGACCTGACCTAGGGTGGATTTTATACTGGGTTTTTTAGGAATTTGAAAGACGCAACTCTAAATTTGGTTTAATTCGGTTTTAAGGGGGGGATTGTATATATGTTTTGGTTTTAAGTATGTTGTGCGCCGCCCTGAGTCCCGTCGGGAGAAGGGCGGCATATAAATTAAATTAAATAAATAAAATATAAATAAACTGCCTGCCCTGGTTTCTCAGCCAACAGTCTTAATTCCTATAGTTCACTTTTCACCAGATGCCTAGGAACTCCAACACCTACTGCTGTCCTTGATGACCCTGGTTACAACTGAGCCAGTATGGGTTTCTGTAATTTCCATCTCACCATACTTTTTATGGAAGAAACATTCTTTGTCTGACTCCTCTGATGAGACCTGTCCAATACAATTGAACCTGTAGCTCTCATTATCCTGTGTCATAGCTCTCATCATCCTCAGAGCACACAAGTCTCACAACTACGCAAGGGAAGATTGGTTTTTAAATACTATTTTAGTCCAGGGTATCTAGTTTTATATTTTAATTTTATTAAGATTTTTTTGTTTTGCCCAGAGTCCATTGGAAATGGACAGTTCAGTAAATCATCATCATATCATCATCATAATCTTAGGCATTTCCATCAAAAATGTATTTTACCATCTCAATAAGAATGCATCTTGACTGAAATGATAAGCAAGTTAAAGATGCTACTATTTATTACTATTTGTCCAAATTCTTCCCAGTAGGTTACTCCTATACAGATTAAGGTTCAATGTGCATATAATATTAAATATCAGGCTTATGTTACTTAACACAGCATCCTACAGATGCTAATTTGAAGTTGAATGAACTCTTAATAACATTTGCTTTATCACAATTTAAATATACTCATTTTTACTTTTGTTTAAAACTCTTCACAGAAAGCAGTAACAATATTTTACTAATAGCTACATTTTAATAAAGCTTTATAAAACCGACTCAAGTGTCTTGTGTGATTCATAATCCTTTCAACAGTTTTGATATTTGAAGTTTGTCTCTCTATAATGATTTATTTAAATTAAGAGTATCTAACTAAGATACTTTTAATTTATTTTGAATTATTTCATACTTCACAGTAAACGAGTCATATTAGATATTTGTAATGTAGCATTCCAACCAGTTCCATCCATTAACAAACTTAAATCTATTTACAAAATAATCACAATGTATTTATTAGGAATAATTCCAGAAAACATCAATAAAGAAAATCACAGTTCACCAAGCTATATATTGACAGCTACAAGAACAAATCAGGCACAACACTGGAAAAATTAACTTTAGCAATGATACAAAATTGGGAGACCAAACCTAGAGCATATGAAGCAATGGCAAACCTGACAGTATTCATTCAAATAGAAGCCTAAGCAGGAATGACTCCACATTATACAAGGCAAATTCAGACAACTGGAGTACAGTTTTTAGGAAAACAATAATCAAATTAATCAAAAACAATAATGAAATTAAACAGATAGAATTAATAACCTCCAATGTTTAGTATGATCAGCAGTTGGGAAAATAAATGAAGAGAATGGGAATTATCAAAAGTTTTCTTTCATAATATTTTACTTATATTTCACTAGCAATTGTTTATATTCTACATTGCTTATCTATCTTTATTATCTTCAGTATTGTGCAATTTCTATTTAAATAATATTTATGAAATAACAAAGTTTAAAAAGCTAATTTCAGACTAGAAAAAACTCATAATATATTTATAAAAATTCAGATCTATTGTTGGTGATATATTAAGCATTCATTATTTTTTTCTCCCCAATGATAGCATGTTTCATGTTGATACATGTTTCATGTTGATACATGACCATTATTGAATGACCTCAGAAGATAATTGTCTTAAATCAATAAAATACTGCCAGTTTTTATAACTTTGTTCTAAAATTGTACTTAAGAGGTTCCCTAAAAACAGTTGTTGAGGTTATATTTTGTCAGTATACATTTCTGTCTGTATCTATATGAGGGGATACAATTACCAAAAACATTCATTTCAAAAATCAGCATGCAGATCATGCTCAGATTAAAATAGTTAAAAAAAGATTCCATTATTGGAACAAGAAAAAGGACATTTAAAGGGGGATTTAAATATCATTTGTACATTACATCTCCCGAGATTAATTTCAACCACACAGTGCTTATAAAACTGCAATCAAATATATAAATGTTGTTGCAAATCCTTTATTTTTTCACAAAGATATCCTTGATCACCAATAATTTACCATATGGATTGCTGCGATTTATTTATAAAATTAATACTCACTGTAACACTGGTAACTCTGAAGTAATCATTTTGTTGCCCGCTATGACCTGCTAATGTAACCAAAGAGATATCTTGTAGAGGTATCTATCTGTCAATATCTTCGTAATTATTTTCAAATCCAACCTATAAATAAAACAAAAAATAATTAAACGCGGTTCTGAAGTTAAATGTAAGATCCAAAACAACCAAAATCTAAAAAATCTGGGGAAGAAAGGTTTCTCAATCAGAAGGACTTAGTGTTTGAAATATTCAAAATCAAAAAGAAGCATTTAAGCCAATTTAAATTACATTCCAGTCAAACAATATATACTGTAATTTACAGTCATGTGAAAAGAAAGTACACCATTTTTAAGTTCTATGGTTTTATATATCAGGACATAGTAAAAAATCATCTGGTTCTTAGCAGTTGTTAAAAGTAGATACTTACACCCTCAGATGAACAACACATGACATATTACACGATGTCATCATTTATTTTACAAAAAGAAAACCAAAATGGAGAAGCCATGTGTTGAAAAACTAAGTACACCCTTACTGCTTCCATTGGTATGAAGTGGTTAAGTAGCAGCCGGTGCTGCCAATCAAGTGCCCTTTTTCAATTGATCATCAACAAGTGTGACTACCTCTATAAAAGCCAAAGTTTCAGAGTTTGCTGGTCTCCAGGACTGAGATATGTGTTAATACAATGCCAAAGAGTAAAGACATCAGCAATGTTGGAGAAGCAACTGTTGCTGCCCATCAATCTGGAAACGGTTATAGGCCATTTCCAAACAATTTAAAGTCCATTATTCTACAATGAGGAAGATTATTCATAAGTGGAAAACATTCAAGACAGTTGCCAATCTTCCCAGAAGTGTGCATCTCAGCAAATTCACCTCAAGCTCAAACCGTGCAATGCTCAAAGAAATTGCAAAACATCCAAGAGTTACTTCTCAGAGTCTACAGGCCTTAGTTACAATATGTTAAAGTTCATGACAGTACAATTAGAAAAACACCAAACGAGTATGATTTGTTTGGAAGAGAGAAGCCAGGAGAAATCCTTGTCTCTCTAAAAAAAACATAGCAGCACAACTTGATTTGCAAGATTGCATCTGAACAAATCACAAGACTTTTGGATCACTGTCCTTTGGATAAATGAGACCAAAGTGGAGAAGTTTGGCCATAATACATAGTGCCACGTTTGACGAAAACCAAGCACAGCATATCAGCACGAACATCTTATACCGTCAAGCACGGTGGTGAAGGGGTGATGCTTTGGGCTTGTTTTGCAGCCATAGGAGTTCGGCACCTTGCAGTCATTGAGTCAACCATGAACTTTTCTGTATATCAAAGAATTCTAGAGTCAAATGGGAGGCCATCTCTCCAACAGCTAAAAGTTTGGCTGACATTGGGTCATGCAACAGGACAATGATCCCAAGCACACCACCAAATCTACAACACAATGGCTAAAAATGAAAAGAATCAAGGAGTTGCAATGGCCAATCAATGTCCAGACTTCAACTGACTGAAATGCTGTGGCTGGACCTTAAGAGAGCTGTGCAAATGTCTACAAATCGAAGCAATGTTGTAAAGAAGAATGGGCCAAAATTCCTCCACAATGATGTGAGAAACTGATAAAAGTCATATAAAAAACTATTACTTTAAGTTATTGCTGCTAAAGGTGGTTCTACAAGCTATTGAATCATAAGGTGTACTTAGTTTTTCCACACATGGCTTCTTCACTAGTTAATTATCCTCACTGTTCTCCTTAATTCCAGGTTGCTTCTCTCTTTGATCAGTTTCCAACCATTGTTTCTTGTCCTGCCCTCTGGTGCTTTGATGAATAACGTGACCCCCTCTTCTTTGTGGAAGTCCCTCAAATACTGGAATACTGCTATCATGTCTCCCCTATTTCTTCTTTTCTTTAGACTAGCCAAACCCAAGTCCTGCAGCCGTTCTTCACTATGTTTTAGTTTCCAGGCCTCTGATCATCTTAGTAGCTCTTCTCTGATTTTTTTTCCAGACTCTCAACATCTTTTTTGTAGTATGGTGTCCAAAATTGGTTGCAGTATTCCAGGTGTGGTCTTACGAGGATTTTATAAAGCGTTACTAATCCCTCGCGTGATCTTGATTCTATGCCTCTGTTTATACAACCCAGGACTGTATTAGCTTTTTTGGCTGCTGCTGCACACTGCTGGCTCATGGTTAAGTGATCGTCTACTAGGACTCCAAGGTCCCTTTCAGTGTTACTGTTTTTAAGCCAGGTCTTGCCCAATCTGTACTTGTATCTTTGATTTTTCCTGCCTAAATGTAAAACTTTGCTTTTCTCCACACTGAAACTCATTTTGTTGGATAGGGCCTATTGTTCAAATTTTCCAAGATCTTTTTGGATCCTGAGTTTGTCTTCTGGGGTGTTGGCTATTCCTGCCAGTTTGGTGTCATCTGCAAATTTGATGAGTTCCCCTTCAATTCCCTCATCTAAGTCATTGATGAAGATATTGAAGAGTACTGGGCCTAAGATGGAACTTTGTGGTACCCCGCTGCTTACTTCTCTCCATGTGGATGTAGTGCCGTTGAGGACTACTCGTTGAGTACAGTTTGCCAGCCAGGTACAGATCCATCTGATGGTGATGTTGTCTATTTCACCTTTTTCTAGCTTACCAAGCAGTAGGTTTTCAAATGCCTTACTGAAGTCTAATTACGACGTCCACAGTATTTCACTGGTCTATTAGTTTAGTCACTTTGTCAAAGAATGAAATAAGATTGCTTTGGCATGATCTGTTTATAACAAACCCGTGCTGGCTACTGGTTATAATTTTGTTTGCTTCTAGTTGTTCGCAGATCTGTGTTTTTTTTTCGTTGGTTTTTTTTCTAAAAAAATTATTTTTTTTTTCATACAATTCAATAGTACTTATTCAACGTGTTGTCTGAGTTTATCATTCACTAATACAAATTTAATTCCTAATCCTTTATTATTTTCTCCAGCCATTGATAAAACAAGTCCCAAGTCTAATAGTATTCTGTTTCTTTTTTTTCTTTCAACCTCATAATAAATCTGTCCATTTCCACACATTCTAGTATTTTTTTAATTATTTCTTTCTCTGATGGTATTTCTTCCTTTTTCCAATATTGTGCAAATATGATTCTAGCCGCTGTTATCACATGTAAAATCAAATATATACTTTACTTATCAATCTTTTCTGGCATAATACCTAATAAAAAAAGTTCAAGTTTAAAATCTACATATTCTCCCAACATCTTTTCTAGCCAACTATATATTGTTTTCCAGTATCTCTTTGCTTTAACACATGTCCACCATACATGATAGTAAGTACCTGACTTATGTTTACATTTCCAACATCCATCTGACATATTTTTAAACATTTTTGCCAATCTTGTTGGTGGCAAGTGCCATCTATAAAACATTTTATATATTTTTTTTATAAGAAGCTGCCATTGTCAGTTTGTAATTTCTTTCCCACAAGTTTTGCCATTTTTCTAATTCCATGTTATATCCGAAGTTCTTTGCCCATGTTATCATTGTTTCTTTAACTTGTTCATCTTCCATTTTCAAATTCAATAAAAATTTAACTAATTTCTTAATTAGTTTCTCATCAGAGGTTAATAATGTCTGATCAAACAAGTTCTGCTCCTTATAAAATCCATAGTTTTATAAAATCCATACATCTTTATCATATCTAACTTACATTAATAAATATGTCCACCATGATAGATCTACACCCTGATTTTCCATCTCTTGCTTAGATTTTAAATTACCTTCAGAATTTAGAGTATCTCTCTATGTCCATATTTCCTCGTACAAATGCTTCCATTGTTGAAAGCCATCCTGGAATTTTCAAATATATTTTACATTTTATTTTTCCCATGTTAATAATAATGAGTTTCTTATATAGTGATTTTGAAAGTAGGTACACATTTTATTTTTCCCATACCATAAATAAGTGTGCCAACCAAGTTGTAAATCATATCCCTCCAAATATAACAACCTTTTGTTTCTGAGAGTTATCCATTCTTTTATCCATGTTAATACAGATACTTGATAATATAAACCCCACTCTGGTAAGCCAAAACCTCCATTTTCCAACAAACCCATGCTGGCTACTGGCTATAACTTTGTTTCCTTCTAGTTGTTCGTAGATCTGTTTTTTTATTATCTTTTCTAGGATCTTCCCAGGTATTGATGTTAAACTGATTGGTCTGTAGTTTTCTGGGTCCGTTTTTTCCCCCTTTCTTGAAGATGGGAACCACAGCAGCCCTTTTCCAATCCTCAGGTACTTCCTCGGTGCTCCAGGATTTTTGAAACATGTGGTGCAATGGTTCTGAGATAACATCTGCCAGCTCCTTCAGAACTCTGGGATATAATCTGTCAGGTCCCAGTGACTTATATTCGTCAAGGTCGGATAGGTGTTCTCTTACCATTCTCTTGCTTATTTTAATTTTTGTTGCTAATTTGTCTTTTGCAGTGGGTTTTTTTTTTGGTATGTTGGGCTATAGTTTCTTTTTGTATTGACCCATATACATTCTGGAGAGATTTCATCTAGGATCATGTGCATTTCTGTAGATATATAGTGTTCTCTTACATATAGTGCACTCCCCCTCCTCTTTTTGTAGACCTGTTTCTTTTGAACAGTTTGTATCCATCCATCAGTCTATTCCAGTGATGGCAAACCTTTTAGAGACCGAGTGCCCAAACTGCAATCCAAAACCCACTTATGCATCGTCGGGTGCCGGGTGGGTGTGGCCCATTGGGTGGGTGTGGCCCATTGGGTGGGTGTGGCTGCGGTGGTAATGGTAGACTGGGTGGGACTAAAAAGTTCAATCAATCAATTCCAACTTTGCAAGATCTTTTTTTTCCCGCGAGAAGTTGAAATTGACTGATTGATTGAACCTTTCTTTTTTTTGCACACGGCAGCGGGGGGGGTCTAAAGCGAAAAGGTGCCCACAGAGAAGGCTCCGAGTGGCGCCTCTGGCACCCGTGCCATAGGTTCGCCACCACGGTCTATTCCATTCATGGGTTTCGTCCCACCAGGTTTCTGTAATGCCAACTCTGTCATACTTCCCTTGTGTACTATTGCTTCTAGTTCGCCCTGTTTGTTCCCCAAGCTTTGAGTATCTGTAT